TTTTGAAGACATTTTGAAATTTTGAAATTCCATCCCTGACGTATACATATCGATAGTGAGGCCACTCGATAGTTTGCGATAGTTTAGCTGCACTATCGATACTATCGCTACTATCGAAACTTTTTATACCCGAGCGCGCTTGTGCACAAGGGTTTTATAACTTTGTTCACATAACGGTTGTTTGTAACAGGCAAAACGAATCGAGATAGATATAGACAAATGTATACATAAATGATCAGAATGAAAAGAGAAATCGATTAAGCGGTGACTGTCTGTCCGTCCGTCCGTCTGTGCACACGATAACTCGAGTAAAAATTGAGATATCTTAACGAAACTTTGTACGTGCACTTCTTTCGGACGTAAAATGGCTCAAAACTAAGAGTGGTAATTTTTCCATAGTATCGATAGTGCTAAAAACTATCGATAGTAGACCGAAGCCCAAAACCATCGATACTATCGATAGTGCCATCGATAGTTTGACACTCTACTTGCAGATTTCACCAAGGTTACTTCACGCTCGGCTGTTGATTGTTTTTCTTAGTAATTTTAGCACACGCAAAATCAACGAGTGCAAAATCAACTTTCAAAAACACGCACGAGCCCGCACGGTAAGAAGTTTAGTGGGGCCCGGCACGACGGGACACGTCCAAGCCCGGAAATAAAGAGCCAACTTTTATAGTATGTATACATATGTACATATTTTTGGTTTTGTGTTTATGTACATATGTATATTTACTTAAGCGAACCAAGTTTTTACATCAAAGATTTTTATAATATATTTTCTGGGAAGTAGAAAAAGTGGAAGGTATTTTATGTACTGATATGTAAACAAAACTACTAAGTATCTTATTCTTTCTATCGGTTTCCGAATATTTCATATTTTGCTTTTCTCTTATCAAAAGAGTTTTAATATGTCCTATTTTTTTGTATAAAAACAAAAGCTTATCTAAATATGTAGTATTAGCAACTTGCTTTTTCGTGCTTATTCGTGCTTTTATGAAATTTTACTGAACGCCCATGCACGCAGGAGTTCGTGCTGAGAGCAAATATTCCGGTCCGTACTCGCGGGCTTACGCAGGGGCCCGGCGGGCATCGGGACCCGTGCCCATCTCTAATTCAAACACAAAATAGAGCGACTCTATATAAGAACTACAGTTTATAGTTCAAAGAACTTTCAACAAGCAACAATGCCCATTATGCTGTTATTCCTACATATTTTTAATATAACAAAACTGTATCTTTCATGCCGTGTGCATTTAAAAAAAATATAATAGGGGCTGCTTGCTGACCAACGTTCACTAATTTATAATAATTCCCATGATTTTTATAAAAAAGGGCACAACTTGCATACGTTATTTTAGAATATTTTTTTCTATCTAAAGAAATCGATAGAGAAACGAAATGCTGGTTTATGCCCAAAAATGCGTAATGAATAATATTTATAAGTTATACTCTATATTTAGAACTAAATACTAAGGAAATAATACAATCGAAACACCGTAACCATCTGGCCGGTCAGCATTTTAAAGAATTGATTCTAATAAAACGGTGCCTAGTTATTAAACAAACATTTTACCAATTTAAATTTTTTTTTAATTTTACCAGTACTAAATTTTTCGTATGTAAAATTTTCTATAAACTAATAGTATTAGTTATAAAAATCTTCCAAGATTCATTATTTCACTATACGTATAAGCAAAATAGGCCAAAAGACCCATGCACGAAAAATACCCCTTTAAGTACATTTATAAAAATGTGGCAACCATAACTGAGCATGACCCTGCAGCGAAAAGCTGAACCAGTATGCACAAATTCCAGTTCATCAACTATTATTTAAGGATAAAAGTCATACCAGTTCGTTATGAACCGTAATTATACCAGTTCCTCGTAGAAAAAAGTAAACTAGTTGGTAGAAATTCTAGTTCGAAAACTGGTATTAAATGGGGAAGTCATAGCAGTTCGTCATGGACTGTAATTATACCAGTTCTCCGCTGTGAAATTCCAAACCAGCCAGTATAAATACTAGTTCATTAACTAGTATGTGCTAAACCGACGGCCTACCATTTCGGCGATTTCGAACAACTTATGCGATCAGCGACATCTGTCTTTGAATAGCCACAACCAAAATTAAAATGCGATGAATTGCTTTCATCATGAATGTTGCCACAGCCAACAGTCGAGTGAAGACTACCGATGCAGGTTCTGTGATCTCAGGTTAGAGTGCGCTTGGAGGTTGTTAAAGCAAAGTAAGTAAATTAATTTAAATAATTATTTCAATTTAAATATAAAATAACAATTGTACATAAATTGAGTTTCATTTGGAAAAAACCTAAATAAAAAAATATTCGCTCACTGAGATTCGAACTCGGAACTCTTGATTTGGCGTGTCAAAGCTTTACTCTGTCGACCATTGCCACTGTTGCAGCGCCGCGAGCAAAATGGCTTACTTATGCTTTTAACGGGAGATGAATAGGCAGTCTATCCCGTCAACTGGTATGATAGTACTAGTATTTCTACTGGTAGCGTGCTGATGCAGGAGCGGGCAATTGACATCTCCTATGACACCACCATGTTAAAAATACCAGTCGCTAACATTGAAAAATGATACAACGTGAACTAGTTGGGCTGAAACGCAAACTGGTAGCATTCTGGTTCACAACCACGGTTGCCACATATAGGTAACTTTTTGAGTGCATGATAACTTGGCAACTTTTTTTTATTTTGGTAACTTTTGGTAAGTTTACCGTGTATAAAGTCCGACTAAAAAAATTGGATTCATTTGATAAATTGAACTGTGGTTGTGTGTAGCGGTGACAACACTACCAGAAACAATTGCGTTGATCAGGTAGCACAGCGCTCAGCAAAAATAGCTAACCACATATCGAAGAAAAGTATCGTTGGGCAGTCTACTCGTTAATTTATCACAGTGTGGGCGCCTGTCACGCGTTCAATATTTATTGTGATATTTGGATCGTGATCCATATTGATGGATTTCAAAATAGTGATGGATCGCGCGGGAATGCTACATGGTCAATATTTATCGCATCAGTATTTACATGTTTTTCTGTCGAGAAGTTTAAAGTCGAATGGATGAAGCCTGGAAATCGTATCTTAATGTGATAGCACATCTAATTTGTTCGAAATGCATGCAATTAATATCACGAAATATGCCACACGTTCAATAATTATTAGGTTTGTATAGTAACAAATAGTCAGTACTAATTTGTATTGGAACCTGCAAATTATTACTGGAAAAGTGTATAATAACCCACAAAATGTGCAAGAGAGCCCTGAATCGAGAGCGTAATAACACGGGAGAGCTGCAAATTCTTGCTAGTGAAATTTTTACTAGCAGAATTTAGCTAGCAGAAGAAGAAGAAGAATGAATATCAAAAGCTGCCATTTGTTGACTTGGTTAAGCGTAAACAAAAGTAAAATCAGTGGAAATCAAAATATTAATGATGTGCTGGACTGTTTAAGTGCTTGTGTGTAAAGCAAAGAGTTTAAAACTGATTTATAAATATTTAGTAAAATGTTTACAGCAGAATGTCAAAACAGTGCAACACCTGTTCACTTGCAAGTTTTTACTAGTTTTGTGTTCAATAACTTTTTCTTCTAGTTTTCTCTTCTCTCAATTTTACGCTCTATTTTGCTTTTACCTATTGACAGATCTTTGATCCATATATAGAAGAAATGAAAAAAGGAGGTTTGAACAGCAGTTTGTGCGGTATATTTAGGTTCTTTAGCGCTTCGGTATATGCACATAAGTCGATTTTTTAAATAATTTCTTTATTCTGAGGCTAAGATCCCGTTCAAAAGACAATAGCTTAAAGCGCGTTTTTAAAAAAGTATATTTTTAAACGCGTGCTTTGCAAAAATATTTATGTGTTGTTTTTTGTTTCACAATTTTTTTCATATTCTTCTTTATACACGTAAGTATACAGAGATTGAATAAAAATGTATTTACATACCAAGAATGATAGAATACAAGATTGCGCCGTCCTGGGCGCAAGTAAACCACAAGTAAACAAAGAATAGAGCGAAAAGGAGAACGAGTTGAAACTGCCAAAACAGTTCACTTTACAGCGAAAAACGTGTTTTAATTTTGCTAAATACGAAANCAAGAATGATAGAATACAAGATTGCGCCGTCCTGGGCGTTGACATTTGTGTACCACAAGTAAACAAAGAATAGAGCGAAAAGGAGAACGAGTTGAAACTGCCAAAACAGTTCACTTTACAGCGAAAAACGTGTTTTAATTTTGCTAAATACGAAAATATTGCATTTTTCATCGAATCTATTAGAGAACAGTCAACATTTTAGTGCACTTACTTCATTGCTTCGCAATTGAGGCTGCTTCAGCAAACGTTTTAGTGTACTACATTGCTTTGCAATTTGCAGCAGCATCTCTGCGGGATTGATTAGTTAACTTCCTAATGGAGGCTGCGTGGAGCAGAAACAAAATCATTGTAAGGAAATGCTGTTAATATAATAATAGAGAAACATTTCGGGAACGGCTTTGCCGTGCCCTATGTACACAAAATGCAGCGATTCGTCCCAGCGCTACACTTGCATCTACGCTCTTTGCATCTAGACGGCTGTCGCAATTTAACACACGGCACATCATTGTATTAGTTTTTACGCAGTCCTCAACTCAAAAATCACTCACAAATTGCAAATTAACACAGTTTAAACTGATTTTTCGCTTATAATTCAAATTTCTTCTTCGCTGATTTGTAAACAAAGGTTTATTTGCAAGTTACCACAACTGTCAAAATCGGCAAAACCAAAGTAGCGGTACCACTGACGTCGCCACCTTTGTTCGCTGCACCGTGTTTACATACTATATACGTATGTAAATATATCTAGTTATTATAAGAGGCCTTGAGCGCCAGAGTAGCTTAACTGACATTTAAAAAAAAGTTGAGGTTCACCTTAAAATGCATTACCAGAATCGAAACAGTAATAGCCCGAGGCACGCCGTTTTGGTTTTCTTTTACTATAATATATAGCATCACGTAGGTGCAATGAATTGTTTAGTAAAAGACCGCATTTATTTTTTATAGATCCTTATTTCTCATATTACTAAAAATTTGTGTGTAAATAGGCTCCTCTGGCCCTCATGGCCTCATATGTAAAATGAATTTGTATAGTTTTCTTTTAATGAAACTATTTATTGTACCCATGTTTTATTTATGACAAATAACAGTTTATTATTTGATAAAACGTTGTTTTTTACTTGGCAACTTTTAGGTAACTTTTTTTGTAAATTCTGGTCAGAAAATTTTTTGTCGTGTGGCGACCGTGTTCATAACTGGTAGCTTTCCCTCCAGCACAGTAAATATAGTATTAAACCTTTTCGCAGTTTTTCACCAATCGGTCCCCGAGGAGTACTTTTGGGTTGCGTGCAGCGTTCTCGTTTTCCGCGCACGGCAACACTTACTATGGGGAACTTCGCCTCATGATTGGAAAAAGTTCTTTTCGAGGATAACATATATAAAATGTAGGTTAAATATAATATCAATGCTTAATTAAGATAAAGTATATAATTATTGCTGGTGTTTCTTTAAACTGCAAACTCAAATCGTATTATATTTGTATGAAAAACGTGAATTTTGTGAATTTATCAAGGAAAATTCTAAATTTCCGAATATATTTAAGTCTTTATTCCAAACCAAAACAAGGTTTGTATAGTTATAGAGACTCCAAAGCCTGCCAGCGCATCCGCCCAGAGAGCTCACTAAGCACACACAAGCATGGGCGTCGCTTGCAGTTGCCATCTGTAAAACCATTTCAGCCAGTGGCCACCCAACTGAAGTTCGGTTGCCATAAGCCTAAGTCGGCTCAGCTCGATGTTCTGGTCACATACATAAGTACACATTTTCATGAGTCTATCTCTTCTTATTCTGGTACTTACAAATATCGGACCAAAGTTATAATACCAATTCATGCTCATGAAAGGTAGATATAGTTTTCAGATTTTAAATAGGTGAAGTAGGTAACAAAATATAAATTTAAACATTTTCTTAACTTCTTCCCAGCGTATCTATTAAAATGTCATTTTCAAAAATTGCATGCATTGCTATGCCATGTCATTCCATCTCAAACATACTGTTATAGCATGTCATTGCTTCTTAGCTCAGCTGTTGTTTGCTGTTGTGTTTCTGCAGCATATTTTTAATACTGTTTAATCCTGCCTTGTATGAAAATCTATATAGCAGGGGTGGGCAAGGCCGAGGTCGAAAAGAGCCACATCTAAGTTCTAAATGCTACAAAGAGCCACAAAAAAAGAACAAGGAAAACAAAAATTTAATTTTTTAATAAAATTATTATTAGAAATGAAAAACATTAATTTTATTATTACTCTATTGTACGTAAGATAGATATAAAAGAAAATTCAAAAGATCCCTTTGGCGAGATTTTCAAAATCTGGTTTTAGGTCAGTTAAAGCCGTTCGTAACAATTCTGTTAAATGTTGTATAGTCAATAGGTACGTTCGTTTAAAATCTCCAGTAANTAACAATTCTGTTAAATGTTGGGTAGTCAATAGGTACGTTCGTTTAAAATCTCCAGTAAAAAATGTCCAACAGCGAAATTTCGGCGAAATATCATCTGTTCTCTCACACAAGAAAAATATCCAGAATAGTACGCGAGCAGAAAATTTGCAGAAACTTGCAAGTTAGACGAACAGCTGATAGAAATTTTGTTTACATTAACAGGTCTATTCTGCACGTTACCGAAGATTTTGTGACCGAAAAATTTTATTACCAAAAAATGTTAGCACTTTTTGTCACCGCGATTCTAGGTACGTTGGTAATGCAGTGAAAATATTCAGCAACTCAGCTATGAAGATTTGTGGAAATTCCTGTATTTTATATTTCACGGGGCAATATTTTGTTACCAGCTTATGAAATGGTAACCAAATTTACCGGTTACAAGAGAGCACAGAATGCGAAAAAGGTTTAAAAATTGACAGACACTTTAAATACCGGTTATAAAATTTATGTTACCAGCGCAGAATAGACCTGTTAAAAGTATACAATTGAAAACGTAAGAAAACAAATCCTGAATTCTTATCCTGACATAGTCATATTTTACTATTTCAACTTTCAAACCATCAAATTCAATTTAGGGATTTGCGTAAATTCCAACCAGCTCTTCTTGATCAGCGGTTTTCTTGTTGGCAAATTGTTGTGGGCTAAAATATGTATTTATATGTATAATATGTATGTATGTAAAATATGTATGTATATGTGTAATATGTATTTTAAAAAGTAAAAAGGGCAAAAATTTTCTAAGCAAGGAGAAAGTAAAGAGAGCCGCACTTTGCCAAGCAAAGAGCCGCATTTGGCTCAAAGAGCCACGTTTGCCAACCGTTGGTATATAGATTTTTAATTAGATAATTGTTTAATAAATTTTACTATAGTAGGAGCTTGCAAAATTCGGAAAATCTCTTCCCGTATATACAATGTAAATAATAATGCTGAATATGTTGCATGTGTTCCTTTTGTTGACATGCATAAATTTGATGCATGATTTGATTTGAATTTATTCGGCAATGTCTTCATATATCACTTTCAAACATGTATAAGCGACATGATATAAACTGGCACTTGCATGATATGTTACATGTCGCTATGTTTTGTAGTTCAGGCCTTTAGTATCTATATATAATTGCTCAGTCATACGACTTAGTTAGGCCGATCTGTAGCAGCCACAGAATTGAGCTATATATCAAACTAAAGTGCAAGCTGCAGTTGCAGTTGACCGTGTTTGTCAAAAAAGTAAAAAGCGGCAGAAAAGTCGATAGTAAGTAATATAATCTATTGAAAAATATGAACCATATTTCCGTGGAATTGAGAAAATTTATTAGGTATTATTTATAGTTTTGAAATATATTTCACGAAAGCAAAAAAAAAAATAGCTGAGATCCCTTTCTTTTTTAAACGCTTAGGATATCACTGACCATTAAAAAGGACCCTGAATGACCGCAAACCTCAAAGCTTTACACATTTTTGTATGTGATTTTTAAAATGAACGATCCAAAATTAGCCGGTATACATATTTAAAATTTTTTAGAACCAGTGGTTGAATTTTTGTACTGAAAGGGTTAACCCTAAAAGTATAATCTACGTCTGCGAGGCGTATACGGAATGGGTCTTTTTTTTAATTTTAACACAAATTTTACTTTTTATTTTGTTGTTTTAAATAAATGTGGTTATAGTTATTATTAATAAAACTATGTTTTATTATTAGTCAAACTCACAACTTCAATATTCTTTAAAAAAAATAAGACAGGACTAAGTACATTTTAGCTCACAGGTTATCTTTTAAGTACATAAGCCTCTACGCCGTATGTTAAGGCTTTACGTTACTCCCAAATAGATTAGGCTTCCAGGGTTAAGAAAGCTTTAGTTTGAAAGTGTGATATTAAATGCTTTTCACCATAAACGGCGCCAATTTTTAATGATTATTGCGTTTCAGATTAAGGCTAATACCAGATATTGTGAAAGGTTGGACTATACCTTAAAGATGACGGTTTTCTCATGACCCACTGCACGAAGCTTAGAGTAGAGTAATGTCTTTTAAGAACTTAAAAATTATCCTGGGTTATCAGGTGTATAGCAATACAAGATTAATTGTTGTCTTTCACGAAGTTCTTTAAATAAATTTTGAGCTAAGTACTCACCCGTATTTCGGGGGTTATTACTAGTTTTAATAAATTGTTAGTTTAATTTCCTATAAAATTTACCTTTAGGTTTATGCATTTTAAGAATACATCGAAGATTAGTTTGAGAGAATCAATGTGAAATAATTGCAGAAACGATTAACCGGTTTGCTGAGCAACCGAGACCTCTGCTTTTTAAATAATTTTTGTAAAACAAATCGGCAAGTACATATCGTCCCCCGCATGCCAGAAACATGAATGTGTAAAGATGAAAATTTTGGGATTTTTTTATATGTCGGCCTCCCCCCCCTAAATTCGATCCTGGCGACGCCCATGCACACAAGTTTGAGCGACCATTACCCGGAGCTCCTCAAAAATACTCAACATCAAAGTATAGAATGCCACAAATATGAATCATACACACATACAATAGTAATTGCTATGAATGGCTACTGTATGTATAAACTCAGGACACGCATTTGCTTGGAGACTCCGAAGGTTATGGTGGTCATAAGTTCAGCCAGCACATTCAATGGTTCATTACCCGGAGCTGGTCCAACATGNACAAATATGAATCATACACACATACAATAGTAATTGCTATGAATGGCTACTGTATGTATAAACTCAGGACACGCATTTGCTTGGAGACTCCGAAGGTTATGGTGGTCATAAGTTCAGCCAGCACATAGAGTAGATTTTAGTGAGGCTCACATGCCACACGCTGGATATCGGTACCCAGCCAGCAAAGAAACGTAAATTTTGTCGACAGTGCAGTTTAGTTCAATTTTCCGTATCCGAAAACGCATACAAAAAACTCCTACAGTTATCATCAATTTTCGTATCCGGAAAACGTTCGAAAAAGATGATGTCATTTGAAAGCAATAATTGTATTTTATTTGCTCAATCTAAACATTTGAAAGCATGCATACATAGTCGGCAGTGGCTGAGCGTGCAGAGGAATTTGCCGCTATTTGTTAGCTTCCAGAAGGTGGCGGGTTCGAATTCCGTCAGGCTCTTCCGAATTTTATTTTATTTCTTTTGAACAATAAAAAAGTATCTGTGAAGCGCAGATGGAAAGCGTATTGAACGAAAAATTCTATCAGACAAATTTCAGAAAAAACAGTCGAAAACGTATCCGTTACACATACTGTTGTCTGTACCAGTGTTGGCAAAATGTTAATCTGATTAACGATTAAACATTAACGATTAAAATGTTAATCGCGATTAACGATTAAAATTAATTAATCGTAATCATATGTACGATTAGTGATTAAATTTTTTTAATCGTTAATCGTCGGTTGTGATTACGATTACTTAATTTTAATCATTAATCGTTAATC